CATTCTTAAAACAAATTGTTACAAATGTAAGGATGTGAGTGACACTAGCAGTCGCTAACCAGTTCTAAATAATAAATACATTCTTAATTTTGTGGAAACAAAATTCATCTTTTAAAAGCATGCATTTGTGACATATAAAAATATGAGTTTTTGAGATTTATTTTCATTAAAATGTTTGCTCTTTGGGGAAAATCCTCTGTATTTCAGCATTCTTTCAGTAACAGATCAATCCTATCATTTCTGATCCAAATGATATCTTAAGCTAAACATAAAGGTAACACAATTGTTTGCTAAAATTATATACATTGAAGCTATTCTATCTACCCAAAGTCAAATTTATTTTACATTGCCTCATCCAATTATACTTCATCATATTTGACCTGTGTAGAGGGAATTGTAATTTACACGCTAACAGACAGATGTGTCAGTGCAAGTTTTCTTTCAGAAAGTTGGCTCTTTTTCAAAATAAAGGTAAAAATCCTTTTGATTACAAGGATTCCTTTTATATTATGCTAAAAATGTTTTCTGATTTAATATGATTTTGAGTTACTATAGCTTAGAAACCACGTGCCTCAAATATAAAATGTCACTCTTTTGTCCTGCCTTGAAATACCGCCTATGCAGACAGCTTTGCGAGCTCTATAAAGCAGCATCACATGGCAGATAGCCGTTCCTTCTTTCAAATCTTTTCTCTCTACAGAGGGAATGAAACTGCAGGATAATCTGAGATCCAGCTTTCCTCCCAGGAAATACACACACAGAAGGACAGAAGGACAGTCAGAGCTCGAGACTGCACACAGCAGAGGGAAGCACATGGCAGTTTTCCTTCTGCAGACAGGCACAGTGGGGCGACCGCCCGTGCTTGGCTTTAAAAGCAGAGTGCTCCACTGCTCAGTTAACCCCCCCTTACCTCCACGCCTTACCCCCACTGCTTCTGACGCGAGCCCGCGAGGCTGAGCCAAGTTTCAGAGCCTCTACCTCTCCACCCTTGAGATCGCACCTAATGTCAAACAATTACACAAAGGTAGCATTTTCTCTCTGAGAAAGAACTAGAGCTTTTCAGACTTTAAAACTGCACTTGATAATTTTCTTAAACATTTTATAATCAATAAAAATTCTCTTTAATGTTTTAACAAGTGACATATTTGGCATTTTCACTCAGTAAAAAATTATAAATTTTTGAATTTTGAAGACAATTTTTTCTGTCTTATAACTGGACATTATTCCTAATAAAACACATGTTTATAGCACAATCAAATGAATTACTGCAAATAAAACTAATTTCAACTTACAAACCTTCATACTTAAAGACATTTATTTTACTTTAGCATGACTTTCAAGCACCCTGGTTTAATTTCAGAGAACCTGCAGAAATGAGAAAAGGAGTTATTTTAAAGATAAAAATTTCCAAACTACCTAATTACTACCCTATAATCAACTGTGCACTCAATGTCACAGTTACTGTCAAAGGTCCCTCCTCCATTAATATGCAGGGCCAACACCTATGTTTCTGCTCTCTTGATTTGTTGTCAAATCTAACCGTAAGGCTAGAGTTCTTCCTAAATCCTTCGTCGACACAACTCAGACTTCTCAGCGCCTCCCAGGTGGGCATCTGACCTGCACTCGGCAGAAGCCATGTCTGCACCATGGTTTGTGGGCGTGAGGCAGCGCCAAGAAGCACCCGCTGTGGCAGGTAGTCAGTGTGGAACTTGAAGAACACTAGCCGCTAAAACAGTTCATTCACCTCAACACCGTAAGTTCTGTCCTGGCTGCTCCTTTCGTAAAATAACGTGAAACGACTTGTGCTCCCGCTGGGAGCCTGAGCCATTTTCTACAACGTAACATTTCACCACAAGCATACACGGAACATCTTATGCTAACTGAAAGGAATCGAGGCAGCAGGGACTTAAGGACTCCCAGCCTCAGGGAATCCACCCATCAGTGGATCGTCAACCTTCGAATATTCTTGACATTTGCTGTTACTGACTAATCATCACAATAGAAAAGGACATTTTATGTCCATCAACATAAATTCATACTAACCAGAGTACTCCTGCTAAAGTTTAAGTACATCTAAATTACAAATGTCTTTCAGCAGCAGTGCCTCAACTCCATCAAAAACACGATTATATTTTTCTCTCAAAACTAGCAAATTGTAAACTATGAGATATATGATGTAATTCTCTTGGGTAATATTTAATTTTCTTAGAATTTTAAAGTTATGCTAGAACGTTTTCTCAGGTGATTATTAATAAGAAACATTTTCATTTCTCACTTACTAGACAATACAAAGCTATCTGTGAAAGTCTTGCTTTAAGCACTAACTTGTAGCTGAAAGCAGATGGTTGGTTAGTTAACTGTTCTAACAAATGTTTTTAAGCACACTCTCAGTGACTACCTAGCTATGTATGAGCAGTCACCATTACTGATGACACCAGGACTCTATACTCACCTAAAGCTATGGCTTGTGAGGTATTTCATGACGGCTGGCTTGATGCGAGCAACTCCTCCCTGGCTGTGGTTTCCTCTCCCCGTAATCACAGACAGGTAGGGTTTACCACCGTTCTGCTTAAACTCTGTCACAACAGGAATTGGAACAATTAAAATCATATCTTACATTCTCAACAGAAAGCACACCTTTACTCAACGGCACATGAGGTTGTTGTCATAAGGACTTACACACTTATTACCTAGTATTTATTACTACTTATCACATAGCAGGCCAGGTGCAGTAGCTCACACCTGCAATCCCAGCTACACGGAAGTGGAGATAGGAGGATCATGTTAGCAAGACCCTGTCTCAAAAACAAGTAGGGCATGGTGACACATGCCTGCAATCCCAGCTATGCAGGAGGATCACAGTGGGGACAAAAAGTGAGAACCATTCTCTGAAAAATAACAGAAAAAAAAAAAGGAATGGGGCATGGCTCAAGTGGTAGAGCACTTGATTAGCAAGTGTGAGGCTCTGAGTTCAAGGCCCAGTACTGCCAAAAAACGAAAACAAACAAACATAAAAACAATGCACATAACCTCACAGCAATTTACCCATCTAAAGATAAGTGAAACCAGATGTATAGTACAGGCCCTATAATCCCAGCACTAGGGAGACTGAGGCATGATGATTGCAAGTTTGAGGCCCACATGAGCTGCACAGGGAGACAGTAAGACCCTGTCTCAAAATGAAGTGGGCTTCCTCCCCTGTGAGCAAGAAGTTCTCTCTGAAGTGATGACAGTGACAACATCAATATTAATCACATCTAACAACTACAGTGTATCTGTTAACTAAGAATCCTCACCACAACCCTGTTAATTAAATCCCTAAAGCTAGCCAGCTATAGTCTGAATCACAGCTCTACCACTCAGAGGCTATGTGACCATGGACAAATTACTTAGCTTTTCTGTGCCTGCTTCCTCATTAGAAAAACGGGATAATAACAGCAACTGCTTTATATAGGCTATCCCCAGGAACAGCTATTAGCAAATCTACTACTGGAGTCGTGATTGTTAACATAAGAAACTCTTCCTGACAGGTAATTCTTAAAATACGAAAAGAGCCTCCTGAAAGACCACAGATCACATCCTGCTTCAGATATGACCTTGGGAGAGCAAGTAACAAACCCTGAAGTTATAATAATATCTGTAATAGAATAGCAACAACAGAAACAGTTAATAAAAGCTAATTTAATGAATTTAATAAATACTTATTCCTCATTCACAAATAGCCTAAGTTTTGATTACTGCATAAACTAGACATGTAATGTAAACATTCCATATTCTTCTCATTAAGTTGTCCTAATACTCCAGAAGAATCAAAAGCAAATAGTTATCCGGGTGCCAGTGGCTCACGCCTGTAATCCTAGCTACTCAGGAGGCAGAAATCAGGAGTATGGTGGTTCAAAGCCATGAGACCCTATCTCGAAAAAAACCAGCACAAAAAAGTGCTGGCAAAGAGGCTCAAACAGAAAGAATGCCTGCTTAGCCAGTGTGAGCCCTGAGTTCAATCCCCAGTGCCATTAAAATAAAGCAAATAGTTTTTCAAAACTCAAGGTAACAATTGGCCTGAAATTCGAAAAAGAGGTGTGACTTGGGCATGCCCAATTCTTTACTACCACTAAGAGATCTCTGTTTCCACTCCAAGCTATACTCATTACTTCAAGCAGTATGTTGTTCAAAATTCAGTTCCCTCTGGATCTACCTACACTAAGGTATCCACTTTGTAAAAAGGTTTGCATTATACCCTTATAATGCACTGTTGCTCAGGTATATTATATTACAAATAACAGCTACTTAAAGAAAAAAAAATTTAGCCAGGGTGGTGGTGCACACCTGTAATCCCAGCACTTGAAGGTTGAGGCAGGAGGATTACAAATTAGAGGCCAACCTGATCTACGTGATCAGACCTTGCCTCAACAAAACAAAACAAAACATACAACAGCAAATTCAAGCCCAGGGTATGCTACAAAATAAGACCTTATCTCAAAACGAACAACTCGTATCTCTTAACTAGCGCAACCCGTCCTCATGGCTCCTTCCCTCCGCTCCCCTCATCTTTCAGTAGTTTACCTGCTGTTGTGAAAATGGTCTCCAGTTGATTCTTTAAATAAAGCCGGAATTCAAAGGCTATCTGTTGCCTAAGTAAACGAGTGGGCTTATTCCCCAAATTACAGGCTGTTCCTACTGCTCACCACCCATGAAAGAACAATTTGGCTCATTTGGAGCACATTCCAGATTGCTGACTGTTTCAACTGCAAATGTCTCAGGGTATCTCTCACCCAACGCCTTCACAAAAACCAAAATACCACCGTCTTACAAAACTCACAATGATCCTTAATATCATCAGTTCTAAAAGTGTCTCCAACTATCTAAAAAAATATATCAGTGATTTTTTTGAATGAAGGTTAAAAGAAGCATTTGGCTGATGTATGTCTTAAGTAGCACTTAAAGGTTTTCCTTCCCTTGTGGTTTTCTTTATAATTTACTGGGAAAAAAAATAGGGTCATTTATCCTAGGCTTTCCCTGTGGTGTTGCTTACCGTGTTCCTCTGTCCCCTGTCAATTCCTATCTTTACATAATAATCAGTCTACAGCTGGATTTTCTGGTTTGATTTTGGGGCAAAAATACTTCACAGGTAGTGGTGCACATTTCAATCACAAGGAACACAGGGTCCATACATCTCTGTTTTTATCTATTCATCCTCAAGTTTGACAGTCCTTTTATATTATGACTAAAAATAGTGCAGTGCAGAGCCACAGTCCCTGACAACACTCCTACTCGACAATACCGCCATCTGGTGGTGACTGCCGACAACTTCAGGCTAGCACAGGTTACAGGATGGGCTTTGCATCTTGGGTCCAATAAGTGTTACCTTGGGCAAATTATTTAATTATTTTTTTCTTACAATTTGTTGTTGAGATAAAATTCACATCACAAAGAACTCACTATTTTCAAAATTTACAATTCAGTGGGTTTTTTAGTATATTTACAATGTCATACAATCAACACTACTAATTCCAGAACACTCCCTCATCTCAAAAAGAAATTTTGTGCCTGTTAGCAGTCACTTTCCACTCCCCTTTCCAGCCCAAACAACCACTAATCTACTCTCTATCACTCTGGATTTACCAATTCAGGACACTTCCTGTAACAGAGTCATACAGTATGTCCCCTTCTATACCTGGCTTCTTCCCCACTACATGCTTACAAGTTTGTCCACATTACAGTATGCCTCACAACTTCCTGTTCTTCGTGGACAAATAACATTCCATAGGATGGATGACACACAAGAATATTATTCAGCAATAAAAGAAAAGAAAATCCTGCTATCTGAAAACATGGATGAACCTGGAAGGCATTATAAAATAAGCCAGTCAGAGAAAGACAGACAATATACCACCTCACTTACAGCTGAAACCTAAAAGGCCAGAGCCACAGGAAGACAGTGCAGTGGTGGGTGCAGGGGCAGAGGTATCAGAGGGGGATAGAAATATGGGATGAGTGTGTTGGTCAAAAGGCAGAAACTTTCAACTCTAAGAATAACCCCTGGGATCTTGTGTAAGCATGGCGGCTTCAGAAACAGTACTGACTGTACACCTGAAATCTGCTCAAAGACTGGATGGTAAGTGCTCTCACCACACACACAGACAAATGGTAACTCATGAGGTACTGGATGTGCTAACTTGACTGTGATGATGGTTTCAAACATATGTACATATCAAATCACACTGAGCACATTAAATACGTATAATTTTAGTGGCCAAAAATGAGGAGGTTTTTGCATGCTGAATGAAAAGCACTACACACAATGATGACTCAATAATCATCACTGGATCAATTCTTGGACAAAAAGACAAACATTTAATACTCAATTAAATGACAACTTCATAAACACTGTGCTAAGCAGTAGTACTGTAAGAAGCTACTAAGATGAGTCGGCTAGAGCATGGGTCAAGAGCAAGTATAGTTAAACATACAGAAAAGGAGGAGCAGAACCCAAAATGAGATTGGAAAGACAGACAAGAAACTTACTATATAGGGATTTTGAGATTTATTCTAAATGTAACATGGCAAACTGTATTTTCTTTGTAGCAAAAATAGTAAAGTTTATTCAGAAAGAAATTTAGTAGAACAGGGTAAAAGTGGGGAGAAATGGGGGAAAAAAAAAGAGAAACATTTCCTGCCCACCGTGCAGGAAATGGGAGTGGAGACTCTACAACCTGCATTTTCTTATCAGTGTTATATATTTATGTAACCACTGTTCCCTGTCATCTATCCCACTAGATGGTCAACTCCAGAGTAAAAAATGTATTTTAAATTGCTCTTAAATTTTCTTTTTTCTAATCTTTACAGTTGTTTTATAGATTTTTCTTTAAAATGGTCAAAATTCTGTTTTAAAAACTTCTGAGCTTTGGAGGAAATCAGAAGGGTCTTGGTTTGAACCAGCCCAGGCAAATAGTTCATGAGACCCATCTCCAAAATAACAAGAGCAAGTGACTTGAGGTTATGGCTCAAGAGGTAAAGTGCCTTCTTGCAAGTGCAAAACCCTGAGTTCAAACCTAAGTCCCCACTCGGAAGTGGAGGTGGGTCACAAGTTTGAGGTCAACCGAGGCTACATAGTGAGTTCCAAGCCCTAGAACTGACTGAGACATAAGATCCTGTCTCAGAAAAACACAAAAACAAAACAACCACACACAAAAAAATGACAGAAAGGATATATACCAAACTGCAAGGTGTTGATTTCCATTAGAAAGGGAAGGAAGAAGGAGAAAAGAAGACTATAAAAGGAAAAATTAAAAATCGAGAAAACTAAGCTGGGCACCAGTGGCTCACACCTGTAATACCAGCTACTCAGGAGGCACAGATCAGGAGGATCATGGGTAGAAGTCAGCCTGGGCAAATAGTTCAGAGGCTCTATCTCAAAAATACCTCTCATAAAAAGGGCTGGTACAGTAGCTCCAGGTGAAGGCCCTGAGTTCAAGCCCCAGTACTGCAAAAAAAAAAAAAAAAAGAGCTGGAGACTAGGGGCTCGTGTCTGTAATCCTAGCTACTCAGGAAACCCTATCTCAAAAATATTCAACACATAAAAAAGGCTGGAGGAGTGGCCTTTTTTATGTGCACTACCTAGCAAGCAAGAGGCCCTGAGTTTAAACTCCAGTGCCACCAAAAAAAAAAGGTAAAATAAGTAATATTCATGACAGGCCCAATTTATAAATCACAAAGGGTTCTCAGATTACACTGTAGCTTTTCTTTAATAAATACAACAAAGGAATACAAACAACTGAAACAGGGAAATAAAAAAGAAAATGTTTATGGTCATGCCAATGAGAATTCTCTGAAGAATGACTGACAAAAATGCTGATAAATGTGGCACAGCCGGCCTCAGTCAGCACTCACATACCCCAACTCTGCAATTACGCCAGCTGTGGATAGAAAGCATGTCAGCACCACAGTCCTACCTTCAGTTTTCTGCTGTAAAACGGTCATCAGATGTTCTATAGCTTCATCCACATGCAGCCCATGCAGGTCTAGGACGTTCTGTGGCAGCAGGGAGGCATTGACTTTCTCAAAGATCTCCACAGCAGCAAGGTGATTGGCCTCTTTCATCTTCTGCTCATGAAGACTCCCCTTTAATTACAAACCAACCACCAGCAGACACTTGGGATATTGCTACTTGACAATCAGGAAACTAATAGTGCCCTAAATAAAAGGCAGAACTTTAAATCTAAAGACCTGCTGGTGCCAGTGGTCACAACTGTACTCCTAGCTACTTGGGTGGCTGATATCAAGAGGATTGAGGTTTTAGGACAGTCTGGGCAAATGGTTCTCAAGACCCAATCTCCAAAATAACCAGAGCAAAATGGACCGGAGGCGTGGCTCAAGCAGTGACGTGCATGCTTTGTAAGCAAACCTCAGTCCCACCAAAAAAAATAAGTAAAATAACATAAAATAAACTCTTAATGCAATGAGCTAAGAGACAAATATGCACCAACATTTAGGTGGAATTAACAATGTAGTTCTTCAACAGCTGAATCACTGTTTCTACAATATTTTCTCAACCAATCATAAAAGGAAACTTAATTAAACTCCCCCCATCTCAAGAAAGAGCCACTGGCTTATCGCTTGCTAACAATGCATATTCTTTGATAGCCATGGGTCTCACTTGGTGGTCCCCTTCCTCTTCTCACAATTTCCTCCTGGAGCCAGCCCCCCAAGGCCTACTGCTGAGACTCAAAGGGCTATACCAGTTTGACACTTTTCTCCCTTCAACCACAGAAAAGTAAACAATGGAACAAAAATAAAAAGTAAATCAAGGAGACTTCTTCCATTAACTTGCAAAATGAGCCCAGGTAGAAGTTTTGCTTCCCTGAAATATATTAAGTCATTTTCTTTTTCTGACTGTAAAAGTGATGTATTACTAAAAAAACCAACATGACAGAAAACACAAGACCACCCTAAGATGACCATTTTGCTTTTCTTTCTCCAGAAAATTTGTAATTTATACCTACTCACTGATAGAATCTAACCTAAGAGAAAATACTGACTGCGAGAATAAACCATGATTCAAGTACTTCACAGATGCGAGAGGAGTGACAGGCCGTGCACATTCAAAAGGGTTGAAATCCTCAAGCCCTGGTTCTCCTTTGTACTAGACACCTTACTTTCATCATTTCTATCATCTCTAAAATTCCCCCAGAACAACTTAATCTAATCACAACACAGTACAGCCTTCATCTGCTCTAAGATTATCTGGGTGTCATGGCTGACAAAGAAACAAACTAATGAGTTTCCCACTTCACCTGCTGGGCATAAAAGGTAGCGACATTCTTCTTGCCCATCCGATAGGCTTCCTTCGCCTTGCTATAGCACTCCATCCTCTTCTGCTGGTGCAGGAAAGCCTCCGCCCTGTAGTCGTCATACTCAGGAAACTCAAAGTCCTGAAACGACGGCTCACTGGGGCTGTCTTCGGTCTCCTTTGATTTCTTTGCCTATGAGATGGTACACAATACAGACAAAGAAAGTTAAAAACTGCATGCCTTCTCTTCAGAAAATTCATGTAAACACACTGGGCTCTCTTCTTTTCATCTTTCTCTTCAAAACAAACAGATCCTCCCAGTGTCTACACTGTGAGCCAAGCACTCATTAACCACCATTACTTTTTCCCTGCCCCTTCTTTACCTTTACTTCACTCTTACCTCAGGAGACGGTGCCGTGCTCTCTAAAATTAGGTCACAAAAATATAATTAGGTCACAAAAATCAAGCCAAAAGATAAATATAAGATAGCGAAAAAACAAAATTTAAATTCCAGCTACCTGGGAGGCAGAGATCAGGAGGATCAGGGTTTGAGGACAGCCTGGGAAAAAATTAGCAAGATCCCCATCTCAGAAACAAGCCAGGTATGGTGTAGTGCCTGCCTGTAAACCCAGCTGTGTGGAAGCACAGTAGGAGAATTGTGGTCCAAGGATGACCCCAGGCAAAAATAAAAGACCCCATCTGAAAAATAAACTAAAGCAAAAAGGGCTGGGTCATGGCGTAAGTGGTAGAGCACCTGCCTAGCAAATACAAGGCCATGAGTTCAAACCCCAGCATCACCAAAAAAAAAAAAAGAAAAAAAGATGACCATTATGTTTATGAGACAGTTTCAACTTGCTAACTACCACTAGACACTGTGGCCAGTTAACTGTGACACAATTTTAATGATCGTTTTCAAAATCATCGTGAAATCAGTATTCAAAATAGGTCCGAAAAGAAGCAAAATTCACTCTAATATAATACACGAGATGATTAAGCCAGGCACTCAGCAGGCGGAGACAGGACAGAAAGTTCAAGGCCAGCCTGGGCTACACAGTGAGACCCTGTCTCAAAAAAAAAAAAAACAAAACCAAGGTAATGAAAATAATAACTGTGTAAACTTCCTCAGCCCTCTCCATCTAAAGGAAAGCTGCATTTTTTGAATCATATTCTCAGATGGCAAAGCCAAATGTTCCTAGAATATCAAAAGCCAATGTTTAAAATGAGATACAGTGACTTCTATATCCAACGTGGCTTTTCATTTATTCCCCTACAATATCAAAAGGAAATATAGGAAGGAAGGAGGGAGGAAGGGAGATACCTATGTCTACCTTGGTACAGAGCTGCGTGCCAACAGCCATCTGGCACGTCTGTCTCTCAGCAGGTCGTAAGGGATACGAAATTTAAACTGATTTTCTTAGGAGTTTGTAAGAATTCCAAGCCACAAGTGCCAAACCAAGTAATTTCAAAAACACTTTATGAACACCCAATTCAAAAAACAAAAAGTCCTAACTTTCAAAACTATAAACAAATCGGGCTTTTTCTGATACAACTCACTAGGAGCAAATTAAATAGTATTGATTATTTATTAAAATTCAAAAAGCTGAAAATTGTTATTTTATGAGAAATATCACCAAGAACTATAATGTACTTACTCTATGAAATAATCTTTAATGATATGTTGATTAAAAAGTTTTATGTACCATCATTTAATATATATTAAGTACTATGTAAAATTATATATCACTAACTGATAAAAATTTTTCAAATTTCTCATAAAGGAGTTCAGAAGCCACATAAGATTGAGGAACACTGTTTAATATATAATAACAACTGGTTATGTAACTTCTTCACTCATTCTAAGCCGCTCACTTAGACCCATGAACTAGGCACTTGTAAGAATAAACACACACCATCCTCTTTACTATCAGAACCTAAATCTGTTAAGTCAATCAACTTAGTTTTGCAACAAATACCCATCTTATTTTTCAACATAAGGATGTCTCATATCAGAATACTCCTAGGACCTATCTCCTTGTCATTCTCCCTGCACTTCACACTTAACTACAAGCTAGTAGTTTACATTAATGTTCAAATACTCTGAGTGTGTGGCCTGCCTCCCTGATAAAACCAAAGACTTGGTGGGGGGCAATAAAAACACTCTCTACGAAAGCCCCTGTAGTGCCTAATGTGTGAACACAATATGCACCTCATAGCATTGCAATTTCTAGTTCTCGATCTTCTGGTTTTGTTCAAACTAAAAATGCAAATCGCATTTGGTTCTCTGACAAGAGATCCTTCACTTGGTTGTATTGTTGCTGTTGCTTTGAGGGGGGTCTTGGCCATACTGGGGTTTGAACTCAGGGCTTTGTGCTTGCTCATGACACTCTACCAGGTGAGCCACTCTTCTAGCCCTTTATGCTCGATTATTCTAGAGATAGGGTCTCACTTTTTGCCAGAATCCAGCCTGGACCGCAATCTTATTTTGTGTTTGTCCCTCTAGCACTCGCTATGGGTTGAGATGCGGTCTCTCGAACAGGCTTGAACAGCAATCCTCCTGATCTCAGCCTCCCAAGTAGCAAGGATGGGCCACCGGTGCCTGGCTTTACTTCTTGCTTTTAAAGGAAAGCTATTCCATAATGAAATAGTTGACATATTCCATAATGTCCAATAGTTTCTTTTAAATGAATATTGATATTAATTTTTACATCCATTTCATGATGGCATGACTCACCAGCACTTCCTTAACAAGGGCCAATGAAACATCTGCTTCCAAAGCCTGCACCTCACTCTCCTAAAGGCCTGAGACCTCAGAATACCCAATCAATACCAAAATCACCTCCTGTGGTTAACACACCTGTACACTTTAATAAAGGCTAAAGGAAAAGTAGTAATATTAATACAACAGGATTTAAAGTGTGAGTTCCTTGGAAATAGACAAATCATGATATGCCATTGACGAGGGCAGTTCCTAGTGTCCTGGGATAGTAGAGAAGCACTATGCTCACAAACCCTAAAATATTTTTATCAGTTATGTTTGGCTATGGTTTACCTAATTTACAGAAACTTTTTCTGACGGTGACATTTTCCAATCATCTCCCACTCTGAGCAGGCTCACGTCCCCTGTCAACAGAGTGACTCCTAATCCCTTCCTATTCTCAGGAGAGAAAAGAGCTGATCTTCATTCCCGGTCTGGCCAAGGGGCTCACGGTCATCTGCACTCTGCGTCTTGTAAACTATTGCACCTCCCTATCCATGGAACTGTGTTTTCCAGAAGGCCAGAGGACCAGTGGTGTCACTTGGTTCCTGCTCCATGCACAGCACTGGCAGGTCACGTGAATGCCAAAACTACCCAAGCTCTACACATTGACTAAGTGATGGTGAAATGTTCAAAAGAAAAAAAAAGAGCCAGATACATGCTTGTAATTCCAGCACTGGAGAGAGTAAGGCAGGGGGATTTCAAGTTCAAGGCCAGCCTGCGCTATATAAAGAGACTTGGTCTCAAAAAAAATTTTTAGAAAAAAAAAAGGGGGGGAGCATATATTATTTTATCCCTGAGTATTCTTACCAATAAGAATAGCAAGGTGATAAAAAGTTATATAAAAAAGCCTAACACTGACACAAGATTAATAAAAAGAATCAATTATACTTCTACACATTTACAATAAACAATCTAAAAATAAAAAAATTAACAAAATAATTCCAATATAAAATGATGAAACCACTTTGGAAGAAAGTTCAGCAGTTTCTCAAAATGGTAAATATTTCTTCCCATGTATTTAGACTCTAAGACCCACTATGTTGTATCAGAAAACCCCACTGCTGCTGGATTAAGTGTCACCTCAACTGTGTGTACACACTGGAGTTCAAGAGCTTGTCACAGTCTATCTATAAGCTCACCATTTAGCATGCACAGGTATTCTAGATCAAATGGTATAGGTCATTAAATTTCCAGTCTAGTCAAAATGGTGAAAAGCCATTAAATCTTGCGCTCACTGAGCAAGTCACACTTGCATATACAATTACTCCTGTTACAGTAACAGTACCTTTTTCTCTTTGGATCTTGGTGCAGTATGGGAAGCAGCACTCTCATTTTGGTGAACAAACTCTTGAGCCACCACTGTCTTCACAGGGTCTCCCTCGAGAACACAGTTGAGAAACTGCACTGTGTGTTCTAATGAGTAGCTGTAGAAGGTTTAAGCACAAGTGCGACATCAGAAAGTGAAAGGAAAGCATGTGGAGATGTGAGCGTAAGCAATTGGCAAACATTTCCTAAGAATATGAAAACTAGTTCAAGTCTTCAGCATTAAAAGTAAATGCTCGCTGTGTATCTCAGAGAGTCAGAAGGCTCTGAAGGAATACAACAAGGTAATGCTCTGCAAGATTCATTTTTAAACGTGAATACTAAGCCAGGTGTGGTTACACATGCCTGAAATCCCAGCACTCGGCAGGCTGAGGCTGGAGGACTGCAAGTTCAAGACCAGCCAGGGTTACGTGAGGAGACCCATCCCTGTCTCAAAAAAGAAAGGAAAGAAAGAGAAACAATAAGGGGAGGGAGGAATGAGGAAAGATGGATGGATGGGCACTAAGTTACAGCTAGAAATGAACAAGAAGTTCTCTGTGTATTGTACAGCACGGTGATTCCACAGAATAGTAACATGCTGTCCATCTCAAGGTACTACAGGAAATGGCTTTGAAAGTCTATCACAAAGGGACGATAAATGTCTGAGGAGATAAATATGTGTGACCTGGATTAAACAGCACAATGTATACACATATCAAGTTATCACACTACCTCACTATCATGGGTTTTATGGGCTCATGTTCCAATTCAAATTAGCTCGTTATTTTAAAAAAAAAAAAAAAAAGATGTGCCAAGGCCCTGAACTCAATCCCAGCACCAGGGAAAAACAATGATCATTCCATTTCTGATCTTTTGTTCCAGGCACCTTAACCACACAAGTCTTTATTTTGTCATCTACTTTATTACACTCACACACGGTTTCAATTTCCTGCAAAACTCAAATGCAGATCGCTTATGTTTTTATTAGGTCAAATTCCATGACCTAATAAGGTTTTAGTCAAAGAAAACCTAAACAGGAATGCAAAAAGGAAAAAGGAAGACAGTACCTACCTCTCCCTCCCACATTATTCTGACAGGTTTTCCAGATTTGTTTGTTTGTTTGTTTGGCCTAGGCTGGACTCAGACCACCATTCTCCTACCTAAGCCTCCCATATACCTGTAATGATAGGTGTATGCCACCACACCTAGATTATTGGTTGAGATGGGAGTCTCACTAACTTTTTGCCCAGGCTGACCTCAAACCATGATCCTCCCAATCTCTGCTGCCTTCTGCCATGTTTTTTGTTCTTTGATTTTTTATGATGGCACTATATTATTTGTAGTATGAAATTCTATAAATTCACTTGCATCAAATACCCTCACATTCCATTAACTAAAGAAACTCATTCCAAAGAAACTTATAAATTATTTTAGGTTGATCGTTACTTTCATACTATTTATGCTTCTCATCTCTTCCATTGGCCATTGAAGAGCTGACCACAAGGAATATTTTTGAAATGTGGTAGGGAAGCTAGGATGTAATGGCCCTGGGTTCTATTCCCAGGGAAGAAAGGGAGGGAGGGAGGGAGGAGGGAGGGAGAAAGGAAGGAAGACAGAGTGATAAAGTCATATGACATTTTTGCTATTATTCTTCAGTTTATTAAAGACAACCATTGAGGGGGAGCAATTTGGGACTACTAATTTCCTTTACCCTTCTCATCTCAACTCAGAGATTGTTGCCTCAGGTATACTCAACACAAACAGACTTCAAGGGGTTGGTCACTGCTAGCAATTATCCACATCCCTCTAGCCCTTAAAAATCACTTCTCCAGCCAGGTGCTGGTGGCTCACGCCTGTAATCCTAGCTACTCAGAAGGCAGAGATCAGGAGGATCACGTTCAAAGCCAGCTCTAGACAAATAGTTCTTGAGACCCTATCTCAAAAAACCCATCACAAAAAAAAAGGGTTTGTGGAGTGGCTTTAAACAGTAAAAGTGCCTGCCTAGCAAGTGTTCAAACTCCACTGCCACCAAAGGAAAAAAAAATCACCTGTCCACTACTGGGGCTGGAAGTCAGTCTCTACCACTGGTCAACACCAGAGATGGCCCTAGGAATTTACCCATGAAGGATATGTGTCACTCACTAAGCCCACCTACCCTTCTTATGATGCTGCTGAAACTACTGCTGCTAAGAGAGTCACCCAGCTGCTGGCAAATAAAGGGAAACAACCAACATCTACCTGAGGGGCTTCAGTAACAGGTCCCCCGGACTCCTCACCTTGCCTGGGGGACACAACTCAGGGCTACTGCAAAATGCCTCAAATCCTCTCACCAGCAGCTCCAACAGAAGAGTTACCATGAGCCACCAGCCCTCCCACCCTGGGAGCCTTTTAACACATAATTCTAACAAAACAGTTGTTAGGAAGCAAAAATCAGTAAGCCAAATATGGGTTAGAATGATACCATTAAAAGCCTTTTTAAGTGAACTACTTGGAACTCTGCATACTCAGCACAGAATATTCTTTTCAAAGTAACACACAATGTTTATGAAAACCGCTCATGTATTAAACCACAAGGAAAATCTCAAATAATAAAAAACAGAATTCTTCTAGGCAACTTTCTTATGCCTCAAAACAAACAAAAAGTTAAAAAAAAAGAAAAAATATATATATATATCTCACCACCACAGTCATAAAACCATTAGAAAATTAAAATCTCTGGAGTAAACAGAAAAGCAAACAGAATTAGAGATTACTTTAGAAAATAATGAAAATAAAAATATAGGGGAAAAATGCATTCCTTTAAATATATTTTTTTTATTCAAGATTGAAAGGAAATGAATGAACTGAAGAAAATATATTAACAAATTTTAAGAGAAAGGAATCTGAAAAAAAAAAAAAGTAAAACATAAAATAGACTGACCAATAAACCAAGAGCTGGTTATTTAAAATTACAAATCTAATAAAGAGCAAAACTAGAGGAAACACAAAAAGCACATTAGTAAAGGAAAAGGGATACAATCACATATAAGCGTGTTCTTAATTATAAAAGAATACCATACACACCTTAAAATTTTTAAATAAAATTGAAATCAAGTTAAAATTGGTGATTTCCTTGAAGACAAACTACCAAAAAGGCTACTCATGACAGAAAGGCAAATGTCTAAATAGAGCAATAACCTTAAAAAAAAAATAGTGAAAACACTCTCTCTAAAAGGCGCCCAAAACCTTCAAAATACTGTTATTTAAACTTTCCAGGACAGGTGTGGTGGTTCATGCCTGTAATACCAGCTACTTGGGGAGGTGGATATCAGGAGGATTGTAGTTCACAGTCAGCAGGGCAAAAAGGTAGCAAGACCTATCTCAACCAGTAAGCTGGGTGTGCTGGTATACTCCTGTGATTCCACATAGGAGCAAAAACTGAGACCCTTTTTGAAAAATAATCTAAAGCAAATGGGGCCTGGAAGCATGGCTCAAGTGGTAGACTGCTTGCCTATCAAGCATAAGGCCCTCACAGTTCAAACCTTAGTACTGCCAAACAAATATATAAAACAATTTAAAAATAAACATTCCAGCCAGGTGCCAGTGGCTCACACCTGTAATCCTAGCTACTCAGGAGGCAGAGATCAGGAGGATCACAGTTTGAAACCAGCCCAGGCAAATGGTTCAAAAGACCCTATCTCAAACATACCCAACACAAAAAAGGACTGGTGGAGTGGCTCAAGTGGTAGAGCGCATGTCTAGCAAGTTTGAGGCCCTGAGTTCAAACCCTAGTACTGCAAGCAAATAAACAAAGAAGCACTCCATAACAGACAGAAAACTGGCAGTCTTGCTGAATATTAAATAAAATCTTGAAGCCCAAAGTCTGATATAAGTAGCACAGAAACAGAAAACTCACAGACCAATGTCATCTAATTACTACTGCAAAATTCTGATGAGTTAGTAAGTCAAATCCTATACTACATTAAGGAAAAAAATTAAAAATCTGAAAGTAAAGTAGGTTTAATTTCAGAAACCTATTACTGTGATTGATATATTAATAAACTAAAGATTGTAACATACTAGATTCTCAAAAGATTCTCAAAAAAATGTATCTATTTAAAACTTACTCTTCCTAAAATAGGAAGTTAAGAAAAATATATGATCACAAGTATATATTGGGTTGTGCAATCCCAGTACTTGGGAGGCTAAGGCAGAAGGATCATGAGTTCCCTGGCTAGCCTAGGATACTTAGTGAGACCCAGAAATGATGTACCATTCAAACAAGAAGATCCATAGTATATCAAACATCAAAACCCACTATACAGCTAGACGTGGTAGTGCACACCCGTAATCCCAGCACTTAGAAGTCTGAGACAGGAAGACTTCAAGTTTGAGGCCAGTGGAGGCTACATAGCAACTTGCAGGTGAATCTAGGCTATCTAACAGGACCCTGTCTCAAAAAAATGAAGTACTACTACAATATTTAAAACATCATGGTGGCCACTTAGGACCCAACAAATAGTTGCTTACATTTCATATCAGTAGATAACAATGACTGTTCATTCTGTTCCTCATTTGGAAAAACAGTTAAGTTAAATCTCTGACCTTACTTGCAAGTGTCTACCTATGCACACACATAAAAACACTAGGTAGACTTAAATTTTTTAACTATTAAAAAGAATGAAGGAAATATTTTTTGTAAAACTGAGATAGAACAAACTTCTTAAAATAAGACATAAAACTCTTCAAGTGCTGGCGGTTCACACCATAATCCTTGCTATGCAGGAGGCAGAGATCAGAAGGATCGAGGTTCAAAGCCAGCCTGGGCAAATAGTCTGAGACTCTTATCTTGAAAAAAACCCTTCACAAAAAAAGGGCTGGTAGAGTGGCTCAAGGTGAAAGCCCTGAGTTCAAGCCCCAGTACCACAAAAAAAGAAAAGAAAAAAAAAAAAAAGACAGACATAAAACTCTGTGTGATGCTGGTGGCTCAGACCTGTAATCATAGGTACTTGAGAGGCTGAGATCGGGATGATTAAAGTTCAAGGCCAACCCAGGCAAATAGTTTGCAAAATCCTATCTCCAAAATAACCAGAGAAAAGTGGTCCAGAGGCGAGGCTCAAAACAGTACAGTGCCTGCTTTGCAAGGGCAAAGACATAAAACTCAGAAACAAAAAGGAAAAGACTGTCTGCTAAAAATACGCATTAAAACATGTCTATGAACTGAGGGCATGGCTCAAGTGATGAACGCCAAGTGCGAGGCTCTGAGTTCAATCCCCAATACCATGAAACCAACAAAAACCCTGTCTGTGACCAATGAGACTAGGCCAGGTTAAGAGATTAGTATCACCTCAGGAAAAAAATAACTGCAATCCATCTGAACAAAGAATCCTATGTGTAATGTGGAGAGAGCGCTCACAAGTCTAGAAAGAGACAGAGAGAAAAGAAAAACAGGCAGAAGTCAGCAAAAAGAAATTGTTAAAGGGCCAGCCTTTGTCAGTAAAATAAAAACAAAATCTTAAGATAGTAAATTATCATTTTTCCTTAGATTGTCAAACAAAATTTAATTCTTAAAAAATGCAGGGAGGACATGCTCCACTGTGCGTGATATAAGCAGCCTTTATGAAAGGGAATCTGGCGTTAGCTACAAAGATGTTTGATGCAGGAGCTATACGCCAGCATTTCACTGTGAGCAACCATCCTGCAATTATGTCCAAAGATGCAACACAGCTTCCATTTTTTCTTAGTTAGAAAGACACATGTTTAAATAAATCAAAGTACATTCCTACTATGGAATACTCTGCAGACTTGGTGGGAGGGGGGAAGCAGACACTATGTATGGACAGAAAAAATACATACCATCAAAACTACAAAATCACTACATAAAATGCAGCCTTTTTTTGGTGAAACACACACACACATACATATATATATATATATATACAAAAACATACAAGTACATATATTATATACACACAGCACACATATAAGAAAAATTAAGAAGGAATCTGAATTGCCAGAAACTTCTCTTTCTATATTATGTATACCACATCTGAATAGTTTCTATTATTTTTATCAGAAAAACAAGCATTAGAGATTGTTGAGTGCATGCTGCCTGTACCGTCAGTCCTTCTAAGTACTCACTTGTGATCCTTGAAAATGTCCACCAAAAAATTTTGGTTGATGGCTGGGAATATTTTAAAGAGCTGCTTCTCTTTTAGTTTAGTGGCACAATCTTTTTCAAACATAAGTGTCTCCCTTTTCTAAAAAAAAAGAAAAAAAAGACACAAAAAGCACCCTTAAGATGAAATTTATAAAACAATGCTAAACAGAAGCCTGGTTATTTTGTTGTAAAAAGACAACAATGTATAAGCAATCACAAACTTTGTTCACTGATTAAAGGCAAAAGGTAGTAGTGTGAGTATTCTTACATTTATTTATATCCCATTTTTTGGCAAAGTATTTGAATTTGCTCATAAATGTATAGTTGTACATACAATCAAATATAAACATGTATGTGTATGTTCATAAATATATACACACATGCACAGACATATCGAACTGATCATATTTTATAAAAAGTATGTACATATGTAAATATATAGATACACATGCACAGTCATACACTGCATAAGAACACTTTGGTCAATGACAGACCACGTATATAATGTTATACCATCCAGCCTCAGTGTGCAGTAGGCTATACCGTCCAGGCTTACATAAGTACCTCTAAGATGCCCAAACAACAAAATCACCTAATGATGCATTTCTGAGAAAATTACCCCAGTCATTAGTCAGCACATGAATATATATATATAAATAACAGGATATAAATGAATGAAGTCAGAGATTAGATAGATTCTTTTTTCTGTTGAAAGTCAGAGATTAGAGGAAAAGGTAAGAATGCAGGAGAAAGCTAGCAAGTGAAGTTAGTAAATAAATCCATGCCACAAAATCCTGTACCGGTGCTAAAGGTGGGTCACACACTTAGCTCTGAGCCCCTCAGTGGCCAAAGCAAAGGGGGAAACAAAGGTTCACAGTGTCCATAAAGCAAAAACAAACCAGTTGCTCAGGAGAAGTACATCTTTTCTGGTATTGAAACCTGAGAGAAATTTCTCCCAAGGGTCCCTCCTCATAAAAGGGACACTGTGTGATGCTGTGAGCAATGTACTCAAAAACACATTCTGCTCAATGAGCAGAAACTACAATGTACAAATATAAGTTGCAAATTCAGGTTGACAGAAAATCATAGCGCTCATAATTATCTGTATATTTTTAACAGACATATTTACCCCAAAATATGAGAACTGCTATTTTTCACAATTCATATCTGGATCTGTTTAAAACTGCCAGACCAGTCAGGCATGGTGGTACACCCTGTAATCCCAGCAACCCAAAAGGCTGAGGAAGTAGCATTTTAATGTTTAATGTTATGAATAATTTATTTTAAATTTTTATTATTAGGTAACTGTTTGAGAATAGTAAGTACTCTGTGTAATTGAACATTTTCTTCAGAGAACCAAAATTGCTGGGAGGTTACAGTTATCATTATAAAGCCATAAAAAGTATTCCATCCCTATATTTTGGGGCCCTACATGTAGGGAAACCTTGTGATCCTGTTCTACTGCAGTTACAGAAAATCTAGTCTCTTATACTAGTTGTCTAACAGTAAGAAAGAAGAATGAGAATTTCCCCTTCCTGTTAAAAACTGCTCTTTTTGTAAGAAATTCTCTGCCTGGTGGTACTTCTGGTGAATATCACCCAGTAGCCTTTACTTACGTTGACATGTACACGTTAACACCATTTTGTCATTTTAAAAATGTGTAACTTGGGGGCTACAGATGTAATTCAGTTGTAGAGCTCTTGTCTGGATGTGCAAGGCCTTGGATTCTATTCCTATGCGGGCGGTAACTTGTCTTTCCCATCAAAGAAATAGCAACCCAGGAAAATCCACTTTAAAGCAGCACCTCATTATGCTTGCTTAACTCAAGGCTTCCTGGAACGTTAAATGTTAAGCTTCCCCTTTCCCAGGTAAATCCACTTTAAAACAGACCTCATGCATAGTCAATCGAGAAAGACCATGAACTCTGACTCCCACAATAGAAGGGGGCAGTGTTGCATCAGGGATAAAAGCCCTAGGGACGTCCCACTCTGTGCTTGCTATCAGTCCTATATTGGTGGTACACTCTTCTGTAGAAGTAAAACTTTTTGCCTTGCCGACTGACCCTTGAGTCTTATTTCTAACACCTAGTACTGCAAATATTTAAAAATAAAAAACCCATATAACTTGATTACTAATTGAGAACTGCTTCATTATGCAATCATTGTACACTTGGATTTTCTGGTAGGTGAAAATATAAAACTTTAATGAGTTTTGTCCTTAAACACAGAAGTATGTGCTGTATAAAAGTGTCAAAATGGACAACACTAACTGGTAACATTGAGCTTGGGGACCAGGCCATGGGTCGTTCTAACTGGGCACTCTGCCCTTCTTTCAGTCTTGTCGAGATCCCTCTTTCATGAGAACAGAGTCGCAGGCCAGAGACCACCTTCCCAACTAGAGGCAAACTGATGTCTGGAAGAGCTCAGCAGCATGTCTCCCTCTCACTTATTCTGTACTTTGTCACTTTTGTTTTGTTTTCTTCTAAAAAGTTTGTAGCCACTGCAGAAGCTTTGTGCTATTTCTTCTTTTTTTTGTTGTCGTTAGGTCTGTTGTTGGGATTTTTGTTTGTTGGTTGGTTTTTGTCTTTGAGAGTGAATCCCACTGTGTAGTCCAGGCTGGCCTTGAACTCATGATACTCCTGCCTCTAGACCTTCTGAATGCTGGAATTACCAGTGTGCACCATCAAGCCCAACTACATTGTTTTTCAATAGAAGGAAGAACCTTTCCATAATAGTTTTAAAAAAGAAAAAGAAAGCCTCTTACTGAGGCTCCAACTAAAAGTAGGTATTCTTTTATTTATTTATTTATTTTTTAAAACTCAGGGCCTCACACCTGCTAGGCAGTTGCTCTTACCACTTGAGCCACTCCACCAGCCCTTACATGGAGGTATTCTTGCAACCAAGTCATCCAGTTTCTACTACCCACCCCACACCAAAAAAAAAATCACAGATAGGAAAAAAATGCACAAAATTATAAAGTCAAAAGACGCTCATTTGTTTGCTGTTACACTGAGAGATTTAAAGGTAGGTTAAAACTGTCAAAAGAAGTTACAGTAGAGGAAAATGACATTTCAGCAAAAGTTATTATACTATTTGGGCATGAGTGTTAGGCTATCCTTATTCAAAAAAAATCCACTTCTCCAATTTATTATATATATAAATTAAGAAAGATGTTTGAAACAACACTAAAATAAGACACTATTTCTTGGATTACATAAGGGTGCAAAAATGGCAGCATACTTCCAATTTAATTAAGAAGATAACCAGAAAAAAATATGAGGCGTCCTACCTTCCTTTCTATGTCCCAAGTCTATGTATGACAGTCAAAGAAAAGGTCCTTCTTTGAGCAAATGTACTCATATAAAGCATTTGGAAAAATGCTTCAAGTTCACTATCTGAGGATTATTTTTTCCTTGAGAATTGGACTAAATAATCTCTAAGGTCTTTCTCACTTTGATTTTTAAATTCTTTAATTCTAATTTTCAGATAAAAAAAACTTAAGAAATGCAAAGAAACCAAATTTACTTATGGCTTCAAATAATTACACATGTTGAAGTAAGGAACAAAAGTGAATAAATTCAAAATGAAGTTTCTGCTTGAGTTTAATTGAAAAGTTAGAAAAGGAAGAATCGTTTTAAATTCAAATACTTATTTCTGAATTTTTCTCTAAGAAATCTGTCTCAAAGATGGGCACATATTTAATAACAAAACAGACATTTCTTGCTACTAACTTATATATGAAATCTTTAAATGAAAATTTTTCCTTCATGTTTTTCTAATGTTAAAAATTTACAGAGGTAAATATTAAAAGCTGAGAACAAAGTAGCTGGGTCACCTGCTAAATTAAATCACAAACAACACAGATGGCTCATTGTTAGAGAGTATCATTGTTAGAGAGTATCAATTTCCCAGGAGAAAAATCTCCAGTTTCAGAAGATATTTAAAACATTTTTCAATTTTAACATTAACTTCAACCAATTAAAGTATGAAGTCCAGACTAAGAACACAGAAGGAAATGAAAATCACAGAGCAAACACCAACCAACTAGACAACAGTGTAACACTTGCACTAACTCATACCAAATCAAATTTTTCCTGTAAGGCAATTTCTTCTGACATTATTTCTCTGAGTGACACTTTCTTAGTTGGAGTGTTCCAATGATCCAAAAAGGGCAGCATTTCAGGTGCTGCTGAAGTCTTCAGTAGTTTTTTGCCTGTTCTCTGAGATGATTTTTGTTCAGGATTATCAAAAGCAGTATGTCCAACCAGTGAAGGGTCTGTAAGAGCAATGTAAACACTGTCACACCCTCAACAATTAATGTAGCAATTAAACATTATTCGCTGTTACATGTACTTGCAGAGACAAGTTTTACTTTTCAATTTGTAAATAAAATATAATACAAGTCTGAGATTTCAAAATGCATCTTTACGTAAGTGCAACCACAAAATGATGTGGAAATGCAGCAGCATTTCTAATGAGCATGATCTGAGTACAACTCTGAATCAACTCAACACTTCCTATTCTTTTTCATAGCAAACTGACACAAAAATAGTGACATGTATTTAGGACATAGGTAAACAGAGGAAGTCATAGTGGCAGAGAGCAACTGGAACGGCTCTGGGCAACTCCACCTGGGCACTCCAAGGCCTGAGGACATCAGAATTTTGGCACATCTGTAACTCACCAGAGGCACACAGCAAGGGCTAAGCAGAATACATTCAAAACAAGGAACTAAACATTCTGAGAAGTTCACAGTAGCAGGAATTAACATATGATAACTCAACATCTCCAAAGAATACTGGCACATTCTGATATATTATTTTGTCTTCCTGGGAGATGAAGAAATAGCAGACACTGGCATTCTCGCAACCACAATAAAACCTCGATACTCTACCCTCAGAAAGCTTTAACTCTTGAAGCTATGACACAGCACAAGCCTGAACTAAAGCATGGCCTGCCAATCTTCAACCTAGAGCTCCTTGCCTTGGTTGCACTGCGGAGTGGACAAGAGGTACTGGAGAAATACATGCACAAAAAAAGGACCCTTATTACTGCTAACTGGCAGTAATCACTGACAACAATGCTATGTTAGAGAAGTCACTGGGAATCAAGTATTTTCAAATTGGCAGGATGTACCAAAAAAGCAGGCTGAGAGCTAGGTGTGATGGTACCTGTAATCCCAGCCCTCAGGATACTGAGGCAGGAAGATCACAAATTTGAGGTCAAACTGGACTACAGAGTAAGACTGTCTCAACAAACAAACAAACAACAAAAAAAAAATTCTGACCTTTGTCCTCTAACACATTGACATCAATAAAAATTCTGAATACCAAGTGAAAAAAATTCCACCATGCTGTCAATCAAACACAGGAACACTGTCTTGCTCTCAAGCCACAAGAGTTTTCCATCATGCACAGGAAGACTTTGGCAGGAAGCACTGACTGTATGCATTAGCGCACACTTAGAGTTGTACTTTGTCCCACACATTCACAATAGTTAAACATACAGCACAGACTTTACTCTCCTTACATTTTAGTTTACCTCAAGATTCAGTGTTACATATTTTAAAGAACTCTTATTTGTAAATCAAAATCAGGAGGTAATATTTGTGGAAGTATGTTTAGAATGAGTTAAAATGTGCACATACCAAGTTTGGACATCCAGGCAAGAACATTAAAAGTAAAACTTGCTTTACCTTGTGTGCACTTGCCACGACGATACCTCCTCTTGTCTTTGACGCTCCTAAACACAAATGCAGAGCAGGGGTTGGCATTTGACA